GCCGGACGCCCCCCTCCCCCGTTGTGCAGAGCATCCAGGCGAGACGCCCTCCTCGACGACGACCAGCCTCTGCCTCCTCTTCAACGCCGGCCGCTGCCGACCTGCCTCCGCCTCGTCACCGGACGGTGAGCTCCTCTTCCACTCTCGTGCGTGTGCTACCTGCTGCCGCTTGAGCTACTGGTGTTGTGCTGCTGCTGCTTGTGCTGCTGTTCTGTTGTGCCATGGATGGGTGGTTGTGCTGATGCTAGTGGCTGCTGTTCTCGAAAATTTGTCAATTTCTCAATTGAAGCATGTGTAGAGTGTACGTTGGGCGTTTGCTGGTCATTGCTGTGCGAATTTGTCAACTGAAGCATGTGTGCGCGGTGGGCGTTTCACTTGCCAACTGATTACTGATATGTGTTGAGAGAGTGTGCATTTGCTATGTTGTCTAACGATAGTACGCGATGCAACTTTTATCTTTTGATTGATACAATAGTACATTGTACACATTCGCACGAGTGATACAAGTATCATGTCTTGATAGGTATCATGCCTCAATAGTCAACACAGCAGTCTGGCACATATGTGAGAAGTACATATGCAGGAAAAGAAATGCATCTGTAGCTGGTTAATATCCCAGGTGTTTACTAAATGCAAGTAGCAGAACTGATGCGAATGCGATGTGCCGTGCTTCCTAAATCCCAAGTGCCGGTTGGTATCTCTTATGTTTCGACATGCCTGACTCATCAAAGTATGCTTTGTAGCTGTGAAAGTGCTCGGTTTATGGTTACTTCTCACTTGGTTCTTTGATTTTTCTTGCTTATTATGACTTACTTTACAGATGAAACTATTTTCTTTCTGCTCCAGGCTGTTTGTGGTTAAATCCAAGGAACTGGTGCAATATCAGCTCATGGAGGGGAGCAAGGACATGCAAGAGTCAGGCACTGAACCTGTTGTTAAAGTACCCAGGGAGCCTGCCATCATTATCAATGGTGTCCCAGACTTGCCTCCTGAATTCACATCTGGCTCACAACTTGCAGTAAGAGATGTTCCGCGATCTCGAGTCGATCATCGCTTTGGGGAATGGCTAGAAGAGCGGAAAGTGAGAAAGCGGTTTGGAGACATATACTATGTAGGGAAAGTTGTCAAGTATGACAGTCAAAGAAATTGGTACACCGTTGTCTATCAAGATGGAGACCAGGAAGATCTTGAGTGGCATGAACTGGATGAGATCCTGCTACCATTGGACATAACCATTCCGCTCAACACACTTGTGATGGAGAAATTCAAACATCAGAATGGCGTTCCCAACTACAGAACTAAGGTGGCTAGACCAAGAACTAATGTTGCTGGCAATCAGATGGTGGTTAGAGCGGTAAATGGCCAACAGTCAAATAATCTAGCACTCCCAGGGTTGGTTCAGGCGTCAGCATCAGCTGGAGAAAATGCTTTAGTATGTCTGAAACCTAGCGATCAACCTAAGAAAAGGGGCAGGCCTCGAAAGGATAAAAGTACATCAGGTGAGATTGCAAAACAAGGAAGTACATCAGGTGATATTCAACCTAAAAAAAGAGGCAGACCTCCAAAAGAACCTGGAGAGAAGAGTATTGATAGGCGCAAGTTAGAGACTGTCAGGGCAGAGAAACTGAAGAGAGAAAGCATGCTTCTGCGAGGGGCACCACCTGGAAGTCAGTAATTCTAATGATCAATATCACTGTTCCAATATAATACTGTACTTCCTAGATACATCAGTTTGAGCTTCAATTAATTCCGGACAGAGAGAGTAGTAGATATCTCTAAATATTCCAGTCTATGTATGCTTGCGACACTAGCTTTTCAATGTATTTTGTACAAACTAAACTTGTAAAGCTAGATTCCAGATTTACTATGTGTGCGCTATCATATTAATTTCTTTTCGTATACATACAAGTATATCTGCAAACTGTCTAAAAAGTTTCTGGTATGGAAGTGTTAGAAGTTACCTTTGGTTGTCTAGCTGAATGAATTATTTTGAAAGATCCTTGAGCTAGCTGTTTCGTGAGTGCTGGAGATCCTCAATGGAAAACACATTAATGTATATACTAACCATTGCACTGCACAATATAAATCGGTCAAGACAAGATGTTTAGCGAATCTAGTCACCTATACTGAGTGTTCTTGTGAAGTGAGAGAACACTTTTCTCCAGTTAGGTCTTGCAAAATGTCTCTGAATCTACAAGACAACCCTTCCATATTTACCTGACAAGGGAAACAGAACACCATGGCATACAGTTTCTCTATTGTCTGAATGATTCCTTTTCAACCCTTCCATACTTACCTGACATGAAAACACTGCTCCTGGTACGAGTTCAGAGATTAAACTACAGGAAAACAATACTCAAGGAGCTCGGCTGACATGTGTTCAGAGAAGAAGACAGAAAAATATATAGGAAAAAACAATGTTTGGTTCAAGCTATTGAAGAGGATGTGCAGCCAAAATGAATGCGATCAGGTCAGGAATCAGTGGACAGCGTGCGGCCTTGCTGGAGAGAGAAGACACGAGGGGTCATAGGATGTCCATAAATCTGACGATCATCAAGAATTGCCCTTAATTGTACAATAACATGTCAAAGGTGTACAATGGCATTCTTAAAGGTGTGAGAGCCTTTCCTATCACAACGATGATCAACAAAACTTGTAACCGGACTCTGATATACTTTGCAGATAGAGTCCACGTGACCCTCAAAAAAGACAGAGTCCACGTGGCCAAGGCATATGTTGCAATGAACAAGCCATGGTATGAAAAGATGCAAAGATATCTGGACGAGAATTCAAAGAATCTCAAAGCCATGGTTGTAGTCAAATGGGCGCACTTAGGAATAAGTGGCAAGTCAACGCGCGAGCCAAGTTTGTAAAAGGTCACCACAGAAAATCAAAAAAGCAAGCTGTCATCCTCGATCAAACAATGTGTGAGTGCACTTGCAACAAGCCCAAGCTTTTGGGCTACCCGTGTAGTCATGCCCTCCAAGCGGCTGCAGATCAGAACATCAACATCAAACCATTTTTCGACAAAGGGTGAATTTATTGGCTCAAATAGGAGCATCAACAGGATACAGACCCAAAAAGCACACACCCGGCCTCTGCATAGCTAGGATGCACACAGCCAACACAAACGCACGCACACAAAAACACGCCGGCTAATAGCAAAGTCATATAAGACCAAAGCTATGTGTAGGCGGAAAAAAATAACCCAAGATGATCATATCCATGATCGCAAATTACAACAAAGACCATATCCGCACCAACCATCTCATGACATCATATAGACGACGAGGTTCTTCAACAGCAACGCCTTCAACAAGGTAGCGACACTCGAGCGTCGCCGTCACCGGATCCAACTACCAAGGCCAGAATGTAGGCTTTCACCCTAATGAATTAATCCAAACATATCCGAGCAATGCCTTCAACAAGGTAACGACGTAAGAACATCGCCATTGCCAGGTATAACCATCATCCGGTCAGACCTAGGCTTTCACCCCGGAGCTCGTGACCACGTGCTTGATTAACACCACCATCGAAGTCACTCAAGTGTTGTCGCCACCACTTTTCCAGAATTCCAGCAGTTACATGCGCCGGCGCAACTGCACAGCCATCCCTCCGCGTCAAGTCATCATCCATAATTTGCATCTCACCGCCAAAGTCAACCACTAGATTTCTGAAGATCTTTCGGTGACCATCGCCGTCATGAAACCGTTCGAGGTCGCTGCAGCATAGTCTGCATTTACCCCACTCGGTCTATCAGATCTGAATCACAGTCACCAAGCCATGGACCGTAGAGATATCGGCCGGTCTCACCACCACGGTCAACCTCCCAGTCCCAGCATAGAGCCCCCGGTCCGGTTTCTCAGGACATGGCCAAAACTAGCCGCAGTCGGAACCACCGCCGGGCCTTGGGGTTGATAGAGGATTAGATCATGCATGAACTCGCCAGTTCCAGCCGAGCCTGAGGCCACCAGCCAAATCGAACCGAGCCATAGGGCACCAACCAGATCCTCCACACGGGAGAGCGCCGCATCACCGTCGCCGCGTGGCACAACGCCAAGCGCCAGACCGCCATCGACAGGCCACGGCCAGGTCCGTCAGACCAGCCGGCCGAGCCGCGGTGGATCAACATCGAAACATACATATCTCTTTACTTCAACACTTACAATCTGTTTCAACACCTAAAGCCGTGAGTTCTGGGCCGGGGGCATTGATCAACACTATAGAGAATTGTGGCTAGGAATAAACAAATGGGTTCTGGACCGGACGTTGATGTGAACCGCCAAGGGGCGACGTCCGTCTTGGCATCATCGCAACCACATGGACCATAGCCGGTAAGGTAGTGGTGGAGCTACGTAGGGGCAAAAGTGTGCTATGGCCTGCCCAATCGAAATAGAAAATAGTGTAGTGTTAGGGTAAACTGGGGTCACGGCGGCAAATTTTATGTAATCTCTTCTATCTTGGCCGGTACGGGCCCGCCCAACTATTCCTAGCTAGCTAGCTAGCTCCGCAACTGCAGTCAGAAGAAACAAGGCGGTGTCGCAATGGCAGAGCACCTACGGTGGGAATGCCCATACGGAAACAACAACCCCGCATGATATAATTTCATTTGTACTCATGAGGTTAACTTTCATTTGTACTTGTGATGTTTAGGTTTATTTGTACCCGAGATGTTAAGTTTTATTTGAACTAGGGATGTTTAGGTTTATTTCTACTTCTCATGTTTAATTTTATTTGAACTCACAATGTTAACTTTTTTTTGTATAAGTGATGTTAAGTTTTATTTCTACTCGCCAAGTTAAATTTTATTTCCAATGACTATGTGTGTACGGGTTGTGACCGAAGTGCCAGACCTTTTGCAGGGGCAGCACGATGCCGGCCACCGTTGCCACGTTTGGTTCAACCATCATGAAAATATCCTCCTCAGACCTTCAAGATTCGAACCATAAAGAACAAATGGATATCAAGCCTTGTTTCGTTCCACACCTTTAGGCTCATGGATCGGATTACTTTCTTTTGCTAAGCTCGCATCTGATGACCACCTATTCATGTTAGACCCGTCTCTTTTGGCAGCCCTCGTTGACTGGTGGAGACCTGAGACCCACACCTTTCACTTGCATTAGGGGGGAGCTTGTGCCTACCCTGAAAGATGTGTCCATGATCATGGGTCTGTCAATTAGTGGTGAGTCGTTGGTCCCTCCAACATGCTCAGCATCTTGGCGACAAGATGTCTCACTCCATCTTGGGGTAACAATGCCTGAATCAAATCATTCTAGAGGGGCACGGGGTGTCCCATTCAATTTGCTTCGTGACTCATTTAGAAAACGTACCAGCACACCCAGATCATGAGAGGTTGAAGAGGCACTGTTTGTGTATTTGTTGCTCCTCTTCGGTATGAAGTTCCCTTCATCACATGGTGACATAGTTATCTCCGGCCTCATTAAGATTCCCTTCATCACACGGGGAGCAGTTACATGGAAAGATTGACCGGTCAACAACTTACCTTTGTGACCACATGGTACAAACATTTCTATTGTTATTTTCTGTAGCTGAAATTCAGTGTCATAACAACCACATTTCATTTAGGTTGATCAGTTTAACCAATGGGGGAGGTGGTGGAGGTCGCCTTGCGGGTGCAAGGCATGCTACAAAAGGGAAAGTCACACCTGAAGTGTCTTTTGGACATGAGCAAGAATTGTATTAAAAAATGGGGTTGTGGTCGAGACAACATTGGAGCATACGATATACCGGAAGCGCGGTCAGCCAGACTGAGTACGGCTCGCTCGTCCAGACTGAGTGAGGTGCATATGAGCCAGATGGGACACAATAGTAGGGTCCGAGTACGACAACGCCATTGCTACGACATGACTCGTCTCTACTACTATGTAGCCCTTATTCAGGGGCGCTCAGTCAAGGGCATGTATCTCAAGACCATGGCGTGTTGTTTGGCTTGGGTTCAATGCCTGAGGAGACTCATTTACCGAGATCATCCGTATGCAGGACAATGCTCATACACTCAAGGTGATGGATCTCAGTCCTATCTCACCACACTAGGGATCTTGATGCTAGAGGAGACTCTCGTTTACCCGAGATCATCGTGTACGCCGGACAATGCTCATACACTCAAGGCAAGGGACCTCAGCCCTTTCGCTCTATGCATGTACTATCTCAGCACCTTGTCCACACCTCACACTTTACGGTCCTGAGGGGAGAACACATGCCCATCCTCGTCGTTAGGGTGAGACATTTATCTACGTGTGTGACGTGTTTTATCTATGTTAGGTCGCTACGTGAGTTTATACCTATAGCAGAAGAGCACACCTTGTAGGATGATACATTTATCTACCTATAGCAGAAGAGCACACCTTGTAGCAGGGCAAGGTAGTACAAGGTGTTCATCGCTGGCACCAGGTTTGATGTTTCTCTGGCTGAGTTTCCCTCGTAATCGTGCTCAATCAAACGCCACAATGAAATCCCTCCGGACAACAATATCCCAAGCATGGAGCACATTAATTACCAAAGGGCGCAATAATGCAGCCAACAACACTATAGTTGAACCAACATCAGAACACATGCAAACAAGTAACGTGCAATAAATGCCAGACCAATATGGTTCGGAGGTTCACCCGACGCAGTTGAGAAAAATCCCACCAACCCTCCATAAAATGCATCCAT